AGCGTGACCCGGCGGAGTGAGAGCGTGACCCCCGCGTGGTCACCAGTAACCACCACTTTGGGGCGGTCAGCGTACACCGCCACACCTGCCACCTGAGGCGTCGCCATAATTGCCCGGCAAAGTGGCGGAGCGATGTATTATGTACGCAAAAAATATATAGAAACAAATTCAAATGTGGCGCAACGTTGAGTCCACGTTGGGTTTTTTTTGCACCGCATCCCCCGGTGCTCGACCGAATTTATTTTTCTGTTTCTGCTGTTATATCCTCACGGTTGCTGAGCACAACCCCAGAGGCCCAAAATGCCAAGGTGGCCAGCAACAATCGGCACTATTGAAGGCGTCATAGTTGAAAGATATTTGATTTATTGAATCAAGCAAAAAAAACACAAGTCTGAGATGATGGGAGGTTCAGATCCTGCAAGGAGGAAGCGCAGCGAAGGAAGAAGCAGAACGATACATGTCGTGCAGTGTGGTGGCCGTAGTGGTGGCGGTGATAGCTCGTGCATCTGCCAGCCATCTCAGTCACGTGGCCAACAAAGTGCACCTGGCCTGGCACGGGCGCCGTGGTGACGGCACGGGCGCCGTGGTGACGGCACCGTCACTTCGCGGCGAATGGCGGGCGTTGCTATATCGGTCGCGGTGCTTCAACTCGGTGCACCGCGCGTGCGTGCGTGCGCGCGCGAGACTAAGCAGGCAGTGTCTCAGGTAGACAGAGTCCCCGACGTGGGAGGAGGAATCGATGAGCCAAGTTCAATTTGCGCCGCGTGACCTTGCAGTGCCCCTGGTGCCGGAGAGCCCCGAGGGGGGGGGGGGGGGGTGAGGCAGGGCATGGGCACGTGGCCCCTCTCAGATTGTGGAGATTTGCAGAATTAACCTGCCGAATGGCACCCTCCCCCCCCCCCCCCCCCCCTCGGGGCACCACCTCAAGCAGGATGCCGCCCCCCGCGCGATCCCGATTTTCGTAACAGAGCTGTGAAGCTCCGCTGCCTTGCGGGCTTCACAGCTGTGGTTGTTGTTTGTTGTTGTGGCGTTGCTGCTGAATCTAAATCAGCCGGAGTGCGTTACAGCTCTGTCACGAGCAGCAGCGCCATCGTCAGGCTTAGCAGTCTACACGGCTGCCACCTGGACATCTGGGAGAAAGAGCTTCACGTAGCCCCATCGGATGCCTCCAGCTTAAATACACATTCTCATTCTGAGTTATTTCGCGGATGTGTTGTACGCGCTCTCGTGTGCTGTTCGGCACGATGTCTGACGTTTCACTGCACGTGCCAAGAGCCTCTTTCAGGGATTGTGGAACTGAAGACATCGCCAGGGCATGGAGCAGATAACACGTGGTGAAATCTGACAAAAACAACACCGGACATTTTGAAACTCCTGGATAGCTATTTGAAAGCTCTCATTGTTGGATTGAGCTAGAGATACAACAACTTTGTTTACAGTAATGTACAAGCCCGTGGAGATATCATTTATCTTGAATGCTGACTTGTGTGATTGTAAAAAAAAACAATGTATGTTTAATTCGACGGTATTAAAATAAATGCAGATAATATTCAGGGTGATGTGCACACGCGCACACACATTGCTTGAACGGCACTGAAGCACCATCTCGGCGTGATACATAACCTTTAGTAAAATGCACGCGTTCTCGTGTCAAGGGTTAGAACATTGAACATTTTGGCAATCAGTGCATCTGTGACCTTCCCTTGTGTACAGAGGAGTTTGGCCAGCCCAAGTATCTTGTGCATCTCATAGATTTCGGCTGGAACACTCGCCACGTTACCCGGTGGCTCTTATCGCAGAGCACCATAAGGGGCCATAATGTCCACAGGGCAGACGGCACCTCGGTTTAGTGGCACATTCAAAGCACGCAGGCAGCAGGATGGAATTACCCAGCAGCAGCTGGGCTGCTGGGTAGATTCAAACCTGAGATTGGACGGGTAAGGCATGGAGTAATGGGTAGTGTGATATATATTACACAATAATGTGTGATATATATGACATAATAATGTGTAATATTTATCACACTATGGTTAATATATATGTTTTACAAATGTTGCCATTAGATCTGAATTCACGCGTTGGCTAATGCGAGAAGACCTGAACATGCAATACGTTCAGTTCCAGTCCTTTTTGTATATTTTTGTATATATTCGTCTGTTGGCTGTACTACAGATGCCACGTGCTTGATTGTTATCTATATAAATTTTGTGTTTACTGCTGTCACGAGAAAAAAAAACCCCCAACAACCCCATATACACATGTAGTTGCATAGTTTAGTTTCAGACGAGAGGGTGGGGAGGAATGAGTATCGGCCAGCTGACTTCGATTCCGAGAGGCGTTCTGTGCACGGTCAGGTTGGGCACGTTGACCGGCAAAGTGTGAGGGCAGCCGTTTTATCTTTGTGCTGCCCTTGCCATCTCAGGAATCGTCTCATCTCCTGGTCATCCGCACTGCCGATTGCCTCTCCCCAACGCTCGGTGCAGACTTGAGGGCTACCTTCCCTGCTCCGCCGTTGACAAAGTCGCTCGTCTCTTGAACCCACTCTCTCAGAATGTCCCACCTCTTCACCTTCGTCCAATTTGTTACCCTCCCCATTGTGCCACCAGTTGCCGCTTCGAGCTATCAACTCCCGCCACGGCACTTCCGTGACCAGCGTGGGGCTGCGTTCAGAGAGACGTCCTGTACACACAATGTCCTGCAGCTGCACGATCTGCCCAACTCGTATTTTTTTGTTTTTATCATGTTTTTTTTTTCCTTTCAGAATTAAATGTTTTTCATTTTTCTTGTTCATAAACGTGCGGAAACTTGTACAAAGAACACTCGGTCCCGTGCATTATGCAAAAGCCATCAGCAGTTCCTGAAAAATTGCGTGGTGATCCTCTTGACTTAGGTCACCATCAACAGGGGCGGCCCGAGACTAGCTACCAGCAACTGGCACCCCACGCGAACCCCAAGGGCAGATCTAGGCCGAGGTTGTTGGTTAACTGTGAAATATTTTGCTCCTATTTTCCAAATACATTTTCTAAGCGTATTGTTTTAAACAGAGGAATAAATATTCGGTTTGTCCATCCGTCTGTCCAACGAATACATTCCCAGAAATGTTGAGAAATTAATTATAATTTATATTCCCTCTGCAAGCGCATAATAATTGAAATAATGACATCGTTATTTTATTTGTATTTTTTTAATTTGTATTTTTTTACCCCTAAATCGGCGCCCCACTTAACTTTGCACCTTGGGAGACCGCCTAGTTCGACTATATGGACGGGCCACCCCTGACCGTCAAATAAACTTAAATAAATGTGACTGACTGACGGTAAGCAGTGAGACAGAGTCAACCGCAGTCCGGTTTCGTCCTTATTAGGACTCATCATAGTAATAATAATAGCGACATTTATAAAGCGCTAGAATCTGCAGGCAAGTTAACAACTCAGAGGTGCGGAGGCAAGCTCAGGGCTGCTCGAAAATCTGACCAAACAGAGGCCTTTAGATGTTTCTTTAAAGTCAGAGTTCATTTGATGTTGCGAATGCACATAGAGATCAGAGAGTCCCACACCGAGGGGGCGGCAGCAGAGAACTGACGTGAGGCTGTAGTAGTGTAGTGTATAGTGTAGTGTATAGTAGTGTAGTGTATAGTGTAGTGTGTAGTGTATAGTAGTGTATAGTGTAGTGTGTAGTGTAGTGTATAGTAGTGTAGTGTATAGTGCGTGTATAGTGTAGTCTATAGTAGTGTATAGTGTAGTGTATAGTGTAGTGTATAGTAGTGTAGTCTATAGCATAGTCTATAGTAGTGTAGTTTATAATGTAGTCTATAGTAGTGTAGTGTATAGTAGTGTAGTGTATAGTGTAGTCTATAGTAGTGTAGTGTATAGTAGTGCAGGGTATAGTAGTGTATAGTGATGTGAGGATTTAACAGTTCGAGACCTTGGCTGTCAGTCCCCACTTACACTCCATGGGGCCCATTGGCTTGGCTAATGCCAACAATATTGTTTCCTAACACCAACTATTTTGTTGGCGTTAGGCAAGCTGTATTACTTGAAAATAATGGTTTCCTTCTGTCTTACACTGACATTTCTGTTCTAATGGGGTTTTCTCCTCATTACAGATTTGATCTATGTGTGTGCCGTTAATATTTGTGCAGTGGCCCTGTACAGCATATTGATATTCTCCGATCTTAAGACACTATATGCAATCCAAATATGCATTATTATTATCAACAGATACTGTCTTGTGTTGTGCATAGTTGTAACAAATGTCAGCTGCTAAGAGCACGATCCGACCGTTCCGCTGCCCCTCTACAATCAATATCTCCGGCGGGAGAGGACATTTCAAAACCGAAAAAGCACACATCGCATGGGTACGAGAGACAACGTGAGACACTTATCGTGAGAAACAGAGAGACAATTGACTGTTAAGAAAACTAAACTATTTTACTTTACCAGGTAAGGCCCAACTGAGCTATATAACTCTTTTTCAGAAGCAACACGGCCACAAATGATAGCTCAACGGAGTAGCTGATCACGTGGAGAGAGAGAACATGCAAACTCCAAATATACAGCAGGCATCAGGGATGGAATCGAACCCACGCCCTCCTGAATACCAGGCGAGGTAAAGTGGGATTGGGTGGGACGCGTCACGAGAAGGGTTTTCGAGTCAACTGATAGACCGGCAGCCAAAGGAGGGTGAGAGGGGAGGAGAGAATTCTGCTGGGATGGAGTGAGGAAATCAGCTCGTGTGCGGGAGCTCGACTGATTGCTGCCCTGCAGGACCGTGAGTGACGGTGATAGCTCGGTGAGGTCTTCATCCAGCAGTAGATCATGACCGATGACGTGTTTGAGAGGGCACGCAGTGACAGACGAGAGAGAGAGAGCGAATGCGAGGGTTGGAGGATGACTTGCTTGGCTTGGCGGCGGGGGATCCTTTAGCTGCAGCGCAAGCAAAGATGCCCAGCAGGCAGCGCCTAAGGCCCCCAGCCCTGCCCTCTTGGCTGCGCTCAGAACCTAGGGAAGCACACGGGCGGAACCGCAACCCTTCCCATCACCGCACCAAACGCAGGCGACTTCGCAGCGACCGCTGCGTGAAACCAAGCGACCACAGCCAGTGGCGTGGCGCGGATGGGCGCGCGACTGTGCTCATTGCAGCGTCGGCTGCCTCCGTAAAGCCACAGTCAGACAGAACTCGCCCGTTCCGAGCGACTCTGCGCCTCTGTCGCGTGGGTACGACTCGACGCTTTCGCCACGTGACGCTCAACGGCGGTCCGCGTGGCGCGTTGTCAATCCCTTGCAAGGCCCTGAGCGGTCACACTCATGGGCAAGGCTGTACGCGGACCAAGTTCCAACCGGTGGCAGTTCTGGCACGTCGCACTCGATGACGGCCCGCGTGCCACCGTGTTGCCAACCTCTTGACGGGGCAACGGCGGCGGTGGCACCACACGCGTTCTGTCACATCACGGTGGCGTCATGACGGGCGTGTATTTATTTATTCATCCATCCCCAGATGGCATTGCAGCCGAATATGACGGCCTTTGCCGCGGTCGGAGGGGGACAGCCAAATGTGCCGGGAGAAAACAAGCCCTGAGCTCAGCGTGCAATGATGAGCACCGATTTGCACACACGCGCACGCGCCCTCGTCTGAGAAATATTGGCAGTTAAGCTGCAGTCTTTGCCAGTTTTACAGGCTCACATTAGAGCGTGTGCTGTGATGTTAATATTGGCTGTGGTAAGAGCACGGCAGTCTCCATCTGCAGATGATGCCATTCCCGTAGACACATTTTGCATTCAAAGATTGCATTTTCTCTCAGATGTATTTGTTCTTAAAGCAGTGCGGTTTTGCTCATCTTCACGAGGGGCACTCTGGAGCTTTTGGTAATGATGCCTCGACATTATATATATGCCATAACTGCAGTGTAATTGCCATTATTCTCTAAAATACTAAACAGCCATATTCAAACATTAAAGTGAATTGCGTATCTTATTATGATGAAAAGATCACACACGCAGAGGCACACATATTTAAACGTTTGACTTCCCTTTTGAAAACACGAGCTTCGAGTTTTGCAGCACCTCTATTGTTCTGCTAAAATTTTAATTTTAATGCAATGCTGTGAAAAAGGGGCCATTGCCCGAAACGTCGCCTATTATACATAACTTTTTTCCTCACCCTTTCCCGTTCCGATGATCTACACGTCCAATGACGTACACACCCGTCAGACACGTACATGATCTTACACGTACCTCATTGGAACGGAACCGGAAGAAAAACTAAAATATAACTTTATCGGCACCAAGGTTCCCACAAGGCCATGCGAGTCATGTCGCTACAGTTCTCTGCGGTGAGCACAATGTCTTTAAAAACAACGGTGCTACGCTTCTCTAAATAAAATTAAAGCTGAACAGCTCGCACGTTCCGAGATTCGGTGGTTAACGGGGGACCCACCCTGCAACCTGCACTCGTCTCGGAATGGGAAAGGGTCAAAGCAGGATTGTTGACGAGTGAGTTGAGTTTTATTCCCTCTTGTCGTTTGTTGATCTCCGTACAACAGCATTGCTCTGGAATTGTTCGCTGCAAGTACGCGGGACGCATCGTGAAGGCGCTGTGAGGTCAGGTCAAGTCAGGTCGGGTCGGGTCGCGTTTCGCCACGTGACAGTCGCCCTGACACAAGAGTCAACACGTTCACCACGCTCAGTCTGACCCCAACACCGATCGCTAGGACTCGTCAACCTCCTCCACCCCAGGGTTTCTACAAAACTCCAGCTGGCACAGAGCACAGCAGAGACCCAACAACAAGTGTAATGTCCTTCTCATTCTTTTATTCACTATTTTTTTCTTTTTCCACAAATTGTATCTTACAATTGTGCTCTTGCTGTCATCACAACATGAAAGACTCTACATTCAGAACCCTCTGCCAGCGAACAGTGCACCCGCTGGCAGACAATTGCAGTCAGATGATTACTTTTTTCTTTGTACGTTTTTTTTTCATTTTAGTTTTTTTTATTGCAAGTGAAGCATCTGACGACAGATACGTTTCAGCATTTAGAGGTATAATGAAGCTATTCCATTTGAACCCTTTACCCCTCACCGACTCGTACGGACCAGCGCGGTAGAATACCGTCAAACAACCCGCAGTGCCAGCGGCAGATTAACAAGCGGCAACACGGGATGCACGCGGAAACAGGATAATCGGAGAAGATAGGAGATCGAACCTAAAAAATATATATTTATGGATGATGTTGGTCAAGAAAGCATATGTGTTAAACGGAGATGATAGGACTCGCGGATGAGAGCCGATTAACCTGCACTTTTTGATTTAAAGCTTTCGTGACTGCAGTAATTCATATTCTTAGCTCTTTCGGTAAAGTCACGTTGAAGGGAAACAATAAAATAATAAAATATACTGTTTCCCTTCAACGTGACTTTACCGAAAGAGCTAAGAATATAACCCGCACTTGTTTTACCCGTGGAGTTCGAGTTGCCGTGGGTTCATTCACACTGAGTTGGTTCCCGGCGTCGTCACGGGGGCCCACGCGTTCTCTGGCGAGAGCGTAAGCGGACGACCTGGTGACCCCCCCTCCCCCCCGTGACGGGTCCTCGATACAAACGCACGGCGGGGGCGCTCGCATCTGAAGGCGGCGCCGCTTCAGGACACTCGCCCCCTCGCTCCCTCGCTCGCTCGCTCCCTCGCTCGCTCCCCTGCCACAAGCAGAGCCAAGAGCAACACGGAGGAGCTCAAACGGAGACCGCCCATACCCCCCCCCCCCCACCAGCCCCACCCTTCGCCATGCGCTTCGACTCCCCCCCCCCACCTCCTTTGCCCCCGGCCCCCCCCAAACCGTTGGCACGTGGATCGCTTTTCTCCGTCCACGTTTGTGTGGAGAACTTGTCTCGAGCCCTAATTGAGGATTTAAAGATCATCGCTCACGCCGGCATGAACCTCGCCCGCGAGCGGCGCAAATCCGACATTTAATGAACGTGCAGGTAATAACTTCAAACGTGTGCCGCGTTAAATCACTAATGCACCAAAATCAATGAGCGGCAGAATCCACCTCGTTAAAAAAGGCCTCAAGGGTTGCTGACACTGCCTTCAAATACCAAATGTGACCCACAAAGTGGTGGCTCTGCCGAATGTAGAGTCGCGCGGAGTCTGACATTGTATCTCGTCGGCATGCAACGGCGCATCGATTCGTCGATTTTAATTGATTCTTACGCTGACAACACACGGTATCAAATCGCGCATGCAGGATCGGACTATTGGCTATTTATGCAAAAAAATATGGTAATGACAGGCTCGTGTTACATTTGGGTTCATGGGGGAAACAAAATTAGAAAAACGAGATTAAAAAAAACATGAGACACAACACTAGCGGGATTGACGACAAAAATTTCTATTGACTATAAATGTGTCCCGAAATCATGACAATCCACTGAATCACTGGCAGCGGTGCGGTCTTGTTACAAATCTACCGCCTTGTATTTTGCTGTGTTGAGCATGGCATGGACCAAGCTGCACAAATGAGGTAGAACAAAATAATATACATATATAAACAATATAAATCATATGGTAAACGTGAGACGAAGAAAAATATTTTGTTGTGTCGGCTCGTGACCCCGAATCATGACAATTCATAGCATCACTGGCTGGTGTGGGGATGAATATTTACAGATATACTCCCTCGTATTAAACATTATTTTAGTTTTACCAGGTAAGGCCCACTTGAGCTATTTAGCTCTTTTTCAGAAGTGACCTGGCCGCAAATGACAACTCAACGAAGTGGCTTATCACGTGGAAATTTAAAGCAGCCAAATGCGCTGAACGCACGTCCATTCTAAATGTGGAGGGGGAAAACAAAAACCACGCGACCACGGAGAGACACACACAAACTCCAAACATACAGGGGTCAGGGTCGAAATCGAACACACGATGCTGACCACGTGAGTTAGTTAACATCTCGCCACTGTGGCATGTCCCCCCCCCCTCGATCAGCTCTCAGAAGGAATCAACAAAGTTCAAGGACAGCGAACAACTGCTGGCATTCAAAGGGTGTTTTTACTCACCCCGTCAAAACGAGGCGGGCTGCTGCCTTCTAAACTTAGGGCGACAGGTGCAGCGTTTTAATTTGGAGAAAGGGCTTTTGTACACGGCCGGTCAATAAGAGGGCTTTAAATCCCCACCACTTGGGCCCTGTCCCATTTCGTTGATTTTCCTCTGTGTTGCTGTGTTGTTTGCATTCTGGCTCTCTCTCGCTCTCTCGATCGCTCTCCCGCACGCTTTGTCCATCAGAGGGCTTCACAGACGGAAGCCCTCGGTGGGTTAAAGAAATTGGGGCTGTGGGGTTCACAAGTGTGAATACCAATAAAACACGAAAGCAAAAGGACGCATAAAAAAAATCGACAAGTAAAAACGCCAAACAGGTTTATCACAATGCACAGGAGAATACAAATCGGTGCTCACTTCAAAGGGGTCTGGTCAGCATGGAAGAGTAGACCAAATACTCTCTCGAAATGCTCTCTAGAACTCTCTATCGGTCCTTCTACAATTTCAGTCCTGATATTTTGCCTTTGTACATATTGATTTAAAAAGATTGCTATGATTTCATATATGGATCAGTAGGTTATTGTTCAAGAGTTATGTAGAGATATATATTTTAATTGACAATAACATGGAATCACAGACCTATGTCAATTGACTTCTGTGCTGGTCGTAGGCATTGTTTTGACGATACTTCACCATGTTGGTCGTCAGTTCATTTTTGTGAATGTGGTGAGAAGTAGGCGGGGAAGAAGCCATGTGCGGGAATCAAACTCTGGCCCGTATGTTCAAAATGTGGTGTGCTAGGGCAACATTTACCCCGCACCTCCGACTCGTCCTTCCCCCGCACATCTGATTAATTATCACGGTTGGCCACGTACGGTACAAAACAATCTCAACACGCATAACAAAAAGCACTGTGCCACAGCTTCCGTTGATATTTTTTGGGACTCAAAATAACAATTAGTGTCGTTG